TTTTTTTAAGGTACTCTTAATATTTTTGAAAAATAACTTAGCGTAAAATATGGGTTATAACAATAAAATTTACTTTAACAATTGATTGTATAACAAATTGCAGGGTCCTCTTCAACTTAAAATTAAAGAAAAATTTGTAAAGATCCTTATAAACTCAATCGCTAGAGCTTTTTCATATAAGGGTTTGACTCTAATTTTCAAGAGCCCTTAGAATATATATATATATATATATATATATATATATGAGGATCCTCTTATATTTTAAATGGTATAACAAATTTCAAGAGTTTTTTAACACTCAAAAGTAAATAAAAGATTTGTGAGAATCTTTGGAGACTCAATCTTAAAATCCTCTTGATAGGATGATTTAACACAAATTTATAAGAGTTCTATAGGACAAAATATAAAGAAACAATTATCAAAGTTCTCTAAGACTTGATCACATAACAAATTACAAGAGTTTTTTAAAACTTAAAAGTAAAAAAAAAAAATTGTGAAAGTTCTTTTAGACTCAATCGCAAGAGCCTCTTGATGATAGGGTTTAGCTTAAATTTTAAAAAGCACTATAAGATTTAAAAAGTAAAGAAAAACCTATGAGTATCTTTTGAGAATCTAAATTGAAAAAAAATTTGCAAAACTCTTATAACTTTTAAAAAATATAGACAAACTTGTGAAAGAGTTCTTTAAAAATCTAATTTTTTTTGCAAAACTCTTATAACTTTTAAAAAATAAAAATTTGCAAAACTCTTATAACTTTTAAAAAATATAGACAAACTTGTGAAAGAGTTCTTTAAAAATCTAATTCAAAGAACAAATTGCAACAGTCCTTTAAAACTCAAAGGTAAAGAAAGATTTGTGAGTGTCCTCTTATATTCAATAGTAAGAGCCTTATAATGGTATGATTCAATTTAAATTTATAAGAGTTCTTCAAAACTTAATTGAAAGAGCTTTCTAATGCTAGAGTCTGGCTTAAATTTACAAGATCCTTTTAAGACTTAAAATGTAAAGAAAACCTGTAATGATTCTCTAAGACTCCAAATCAAAAGAAAAATACATTTAAAAATCAAGAGCCTTCTAAGACTTAAAAAGTTTTAAAAAACTATGATGGTACTCTAAATCTCTAAATTGCACAACAAATTTCAATGGTCCTTTACCATTCAAAAATTAAAAGAGATTACATGAGTCATCTAAGATACAATCGTAAGAGCCTTTTAGTGACAAGGTTTAGCTCATATTCACAAAAGTCCTATAAAACCAAAAGTAAAGAAAACATTATCAAAATAATCAAAAACTTGATCACATAATGAATTGTAAGAATTTTCTACGACTTAAAAGTAAATAAACATTTGCAAGAGTCCTCTAAAATACAATTACGAGAACCTTATAATGGAAAGGTTCAACTAAAATTTACAAGAATTCTCCGAGAAAAGAAGTAAAGAAGGATTTATGACATTACTTTAAGACTAAATTGCAAAACAATTTATAAAAGTTCTATAAGGCTCAAAAGCAAAGAAAGCTTTATAACAGTCCTCTAAGACTTAATTGCAGATCCTTATAATGGCAAGCTTCAACTTAATTATGCAAGAGTCATTAAAGACTTAAATACTAACGTAAAACCTGCAAGGTTTCTCTAAGGCTTTAAATATCAGATCAAATTAAAAGAATTTGTTTAGATTTAAAAGTAAAGAGAGTTTGGCAAGAGTCCTCTAAAACTCAATCATAAAAGCTTTTTATTGGCAAAGGTAAACTTCGATTTGCAAGAGTCCTCTAAAACTCAATCATAAAAGCTTTTTATTGGCAAAGGTAAACTTCGATTTGCAAGAGTCCTCTAAAACTCAATCATAAAAGCTTTTTATTGGCAAAGGTAAACTTCGATTTGCAAGAGTCCTCTAAAACTCAATCATAAAAGCTTTTTATTGGCAAAGGTAAACTTCGATTTGCAAGAGTCCTCTAAAACTCAATCATAAAAGCATTTTTATTAGCAAGGGTCGACTTAGATTTGCAAGAGTCCAAGACAAAACATAAATAAAATTTTATGAAAGTCCTCTAAGACTTGATTTTAGAAAAAATCACATGAGTTTAATCAGACTCAAGAGTAAAGAAATATTTGTGAGAATTCTTTAAGACTTAATTATAAGAGCCTTCTAATAGAAATGTTTGATTTAAATTCGCAAGAATCTGATAAAATAAAATAAAAAATCAGAAGGAGTCCTTTGAGACTCGATTGTGAAAAAAAAATATTGCAAGAGTTTTCTTAAACTCAAAGGCAATGAAAGATTTTTCAAGCCTATTATACTCAATTGCAAGAGCATTTGATAATAGAGTTTGACTTAAATTCACAAGAGTCTTTTAAGAGTCCAAAACTAAAGAAAAACCTATAAGGGTCCTCTAAGGCTCTAAATATGAAAACAAATTGAAGGAATTTGCTAAGATTTAAAAGTAAAGAGAGATTCGTAAGAGTCCTCTAAAACTCAATTATAAAAGCCTTTTAATGGTAAGGGTTGATCAGATTTGCAAAAGTCATGTAAAACAAAATGTAAATAAAAGTCATGTAAAACAAAATGTAAAGAAACTTTTATGAAAGTCCTTTAATACTTGATTTTAGAAAAAATTACATGAGTCTAATAAAACTCAAAAGTAAAGAAATATTTATGAGAGTCCTTTAAGAATTAATCATAAGAGCCTCCTAATGGAAATGTTTGATTTAAATTTGCAAGAGTTCGATAAGACAAAAATTAAAGAAAAATTAGTAAGAGTTCTTTAAGACTCAATTGCAAAAAAGAAAAAAATATAAGAGTTCTCTTAGACTCAAAAGGAATGAAAGATTTTTAGAGTTTTTTAGACTCAATTGCAAGAGCTTTTTGATGATGGAGTTTGATTTAAATTCACAAGAGTCTTTTAAGAACCCAAAACTAAAGAAAAACTTATGAGTGTCCTTTACAGCTTTAAATATATAAAAAAAAATTGAAAGAGTTCGCTAAGATTTAAAAATAAAGAGATATTCACGAGAGTTGTCTAAAACTTAATTGCAAAAGCCTATTAGTGGCAAGGGCTAACTTTGATCTGTAAGAGTCTTCTATGACAAAAAGTATAGAAAATGTTGTGAAAGTACTCTAAGACTTTAATGTAAAACAAATTACATGAGTCTTATAAAACTCAAAAATAACTCTAAGACTTAATCATAAGAGCCTAATGATGATAGAGTTTGACTTAAATTCATAAGGATCCACTAAGACAAAAAGTAAAGAAAACTTTTCAATAGTCCTTTGAAACTCATTTGCAAAACAAATTGCAAGAGTTCTCATATACTCAAAAGCAATGAAAGATTTTTATGGTCTCTTAGACTCAATTGCTAGAGCCTCCTAATGACAGGGTTTAACTCAAATTTGCAAAAGTCTTTTAAGATTTAAAAACTAAAGAAATACCTGCAAAAGTCCTCTAAAACTCTTCGAGTTTTGAATACAAATTATAAGAATTTTTTATTACTTAAAAGTAAAGAAAGATTTATGAATTTTTTTAAGATTTAATAACAAGAACCTCCTGATAGCTATAAATATTTATGAGAGGCTTTGATTAAAATTTACAAGAGCTCTTTGAGACTAAAAAAAATAAAATAAAACCTATAAATGTTTTCTAAGACTTCAAATCTTAAAACAAATTGCAAGAGCCTTTTATACTCAAATTATGACCCATTTATTACAATTTGTTAAGCAAAGAAAAAAAGTTCAACAAAAAAGAACCAAAATGTAAAACATGAAAATCTTATGGTCAATCTCAAATAAAGTTTTGTTTAGACTAAATATTTTTTTTTTTACACTGTAATTTCTTTATTTTTTGTAATATTTTAGTTCCCAAGTTTGAGAAAGAAGAGAAAATCACCTAAAAATAATGAAGAAAAGGAAAAAAATGGTGAATGACCAATTTTTTTATGGGAATCTTGTCATTCATGGTATCAACTGGTTTAATTTGATGCGAGAAGTTCAATGATTATTGATTTTTTCTATTACAAACTTGAAAAAAAAATCAGGTTTTGTCTAAATTTTTTTATCCAGTTTATTTTTTTTTTTAGAATGATTTTGGAGTGTTTTTGAGATAAATAAGTGATTTATAAAGGTTTTTAAATCAAAATAAATTGAAAATGACTTTTAGATCAAAACCCTCTCTATTTTTAGCTAATGCAATGGTTATCACTAACCTAAAAGGCAACATGTCCCTTGCTATTGCAAATGCTCATCATCCATTTAATGAAAAAAGAAGCAAACAATGCTCAGGTAAAAAAATCAATTGCATGCTTGAGTTTTTATTTATTTATTAAGATCAAGCTTGTGACTCTAATTTATCAATATTTAACTTTATTTTTTATTTTATTTTATTTTTTATTAATTATTTCTATTAAATTAACTGTTTTTTTAATAGTGAATTTTTTCTTACATTTTTTTAGTTACATGATATTCTAAAGAGATTAGTTTGATTTGTTTTGAATTTCTTTTCTCTTATATTTCATATAAATTAGCTATATTTGTAGAAAGCCTTTATAGAAAAAAGAAGAAGAAGAAAAAGGAATCATATGTTTTTAGCAATAACAATTAGCCACTAAGATAAAATAAAAAAATAAAAAAAATAAAAAAAATAAAAGTCAATATAAGATATCTGTATATGTATTTATATTTTATTTATATTATAAAAATTAGCTTTTAGATGTAATATTTAATTAATATTAACAACTCTTTTTAATTTAGCAATTTGTATATTTTTTAATTAAAAAATATTATTCATGTTACCTTCAATCATGTTAAATCAATTAAGTCATGTAAATAACCTAAATAGTTTAATTTAGAATTTGGATTAATAATCGAGTCAAGATTAACGCTGAAGTTAATTATACTTTAAGGACATTTCATGCTGTTTAAACAAAAAAAAAAAAGAAAAGAATTTAACGATTCAACAAAAACTTTTAATCACGGCCGGTTATCTAGTTCTAAACATCTCCATTCCACCTCCAATTGCAGAATTTCCCGCTCGTCAATACAAATAAATATCGGACGCTTTATTCTCATTATTAGCTTCCTCTTCACACCATCTATATAGTGTCTAATAACAGCAGCAGAATCTATCGAAAACAATGGAAGCAGAGATTATTAGAATTAATAATAATCATAATAAGAAAAGGAGCAGCAGAAAGCCATTGGCAGATTGCACAAACTTTTCACCATCGTCCTCAACATCATCGACTAAAAATATTCCTTCTTCTTCTTCTTCTTTTAAGAAACCACCCCTTCTCTCCTTTTCTCTTCATAAATTCCCAAACACCAAAAACAAACCTCGATCCACCCCCTCCCACAAGACCCCTGCTTCCAAATCCGCCGCCGTTTCGCCCCCGACACCTTCTCACCCACCTGAATCCTCTCCTCTACCTGGTAATCTAGGGTTTCCAGTTCGTTTCTATTTTTTTTATCGAGTAATTGCTCTTTGCGTGATTTTAGATTTATGGGTTTTTGTTATCTTATTAACTTTTGCCATGAATGATATTATTCTTTAATGGGTTTTTACCCTTTTTGTGTATTTTTATTGATATAGCACAATTCGATATCTCTATGTTATTTTTTGGATGCAATATTATTGTGGAGGGAGTATGCTTGTTTGGTAAATTTCTCCGGGTTGATGTATTTATTCGTTTATTGAATTCTGAGAGCTAATGAGATTGATCATGTTTTATGATGTGAGATATTTAGGAAGTTTTGGTGATGAGATTTTCGAGCCGCATTCAGTTTACACTCGGAGACAGTCTACCGAAGGTAAAAGGAAGAGTAAAGGGAGGGCAAGTTTCACTTCTGCACCGAAGACCGAATTCGCCTCGTAAAGTTTCATTCACTATCTTTGTTTTGTTCGTTTGTTTGTTTGCTTTTTTTTTTTTTTTACTTTTACCCACTTAATTCGAAGTCATTAACATGAAGATGAATACACGTGTAGAGATTTTTATAACTGTGATTCGAAACAGCCAGCTACTTTACATCGTTTGTGTGATGAATGAATCACCAATTTACCTAGGTTTGTATTTAGAAGAGCTGGCAGTGCCTAACATTTTATTGACAATGTCTAACTGGACTTTTATTGTTTGAAAAGGCATCTACTCCCTCTGTAAATGAATAAGTGATTGAATTGTGGAATTTTGAATGTTGATGGTAGTGGCTTTGTGGTATTTAGTGCCAATTGTGAATTCACATGTTAAAACAGGATAGCTACTTATGTGCTAGAGGTCTGTGGTCTTTTAGCAATTCAATTTCTAATAATTTGAAACTCTGTGCAAAGTGGAGGGATAAAATGATCTAAAAGGATGTAAATGTTTTTTTTTTTTCCATATTGGAACTCATGTTGTTTATTTTGGTTTCCTCTCTCATACTTGTATTCTGATGGATGCTGAAGTTGTAGTAAACAACATTATGCTTAAACTTGGTGAAACTGAGTTCGGTTTTCCTTAGGTTCTCTGACTTTGATATTGGTCGAACACAGATATGAAAAAACTTGAAGTCCATGAACTGAAATCTTAGCAATTGTAATGGTATATGCTGCTTCAACTAAAAAACTTATTTTTGTTGTTGTGTGAAAATATTGCTAATTGGTTTAATTTCTTGTAATATTCTGCTCCCAAGTGCTTCCCTATGTATTCATTCATGTGCAGATTCTCTCATTATAGATCTTTCTGATTAATGAAAAACAAATGTTTTTTCATACCATTATGCTCTCTCAACCTTGTTACCATTCTTCATTAACAAAAGTCTTTCTGGTTTTGCCTCCACTGTAGGTATAAAATGAATGATGCTGGAGTTACTTGTCCATCCAAGTCTTTGGCAGTGCGTCGCAAAAAGGTTGGGGGATCAATGTAGTCTGTACTTCTAACCATTGGCTTCGGCATTATTTTCACTATTGTTAAGCAAATCAGTTCTAATTCTTAAATTTTGTAAGGAGTACATCTCTTGGTCATTGGGTCATTTTGATTTCTGTGCTTATATGAATGATTTCTATTGTTATTGCTACCCTCTCCCATTGATTTCAAGCTGAGAAATTCAGGCTCTGTTCTTATAAAGAAGCATTTGATAAGTTCTGCACACTTTTAGCTTTCTGAAATCCTTTTACTATTTTCTTTTAGAAGCATAATCAGGTTACATCCTGTATAATGTTGATAGAGTATTTATTTGAAGCATCGCTGGCAATTTTAAGGGAATTATTCTTCTCTGTGGTCATGAAATAGTTTCTCCTATGTAGAGTCTGTTGTTAATTTAACTGTTCTGTTTCTTCTTGCATCATTTTATAAATTAGCTTTCTCGCTCTAGATTTTAAGAGAAAGCATATCTAAACTCGTTTAGCTTGACTTTTAACTCTACGATGTTTTCACAGAAACGATGTGGGGCACTGTCTGATGGAGATGAGAAGAAGCATGCCCTGCCACAGGATTTTATTGAGCAGCAGAGAGCTTACTTTGCAGAAATTGATGCATTTGAACTCTCAGAGGAGGAGGTTGGTTCAAGTAATGAGTTGGACTGATTGGATCGAGATGGAGAGTATTCTACACTATAGGATGAGCTATCAAGTCAGACTAACCATGAATTTTCATATGTATAAGTAGAATAGTTTAATACTCATGTTCTCTTGTAAATGCCTCCTAACTCGTGTGCTTGACAATGTTTGGGTGTAGTTTAATGCACGGAAAATCCTTGGGCGAAAGATTATGTCTTTCCATAGAAAAATGTTGAAGGAAATGAACTTGGATAGATTTCTCTGCAATTTTCCAAGTTCTATTTTGCAGGGAGTAAAATTTACGGGTAATGAGTTTCTGTTTACAAGATTTGTAAATGTTATGCATTTATTTCATTTTGCTGGCCATTTGAGTTTCTGATTCTTGTTTCTACACAATTTCTAGTGGAACCATGTTGCAAGCTCTAGCTTCTGAGATGGGCGAAACATCTTGATTGATTTCACAATTTCCTCTCTTTTGTTTCTTTATCCAGTACATGGGATGGTAATGGTTTTTCTCCGTTACTCCAGTTCCCTCAAATGGAACCTAGAGCCGCTGTAGGATATATACTGCTGCCAGTCATAGAAGATGGGCCGCTTTCTATAAATGAACTTTGATACAAGCCGAGTTGTTTTTCTCAACAAAAGAATGTTCGACGGAAGTCATTGGTGCACTGGTAAAAATCTTGAATCGCAATCATAAGGATGCAGATTGAAGTAATTTTGGGAGCAGCAGCGATCAAATTTATACCAAGATTTCTTCAGATTAAGCTTCAATTATCTGATGTATATCTGCTGAAATGGAGAATTGTCTCTAATTTTTTTTCCTCCAAGCCAATGGAATCACAGCTGAGTTATTTTCCATTTTTATTTTGTGCTATGATAATATGAAGCTGTAGTAAAATAAAACTGTATCGAAAGAGCTACCATGTCCTTTAAAGAGAGCCCTTGTGCAGAAAAGCTTGTTATGAGAGCACTTGGATTAGAAGCGGGAAGCTATGTTTTATTTGAGAGTATGTTTGTTATTGATTTTTATTTGAAAATATATTAAAATAATTTTTTTTTAATTTTTTAGATGAGAATTCACAGGAGCAGCAGCTCGGCTGGCTGTGAGAGAATCTCTTCTTCCCGACCCAACTACATATGCATAAAAAGTATTACTGGCCTCGCTAGCATAATTATATTTCAGTCTAAAATGAGAAATACCAACATTTAGATAGTCTAGGTCATAAATATTGACTAAAATAAGAGTGAGAAATTTTATGCTTTGCATGCTCCTAATTATTAATTTTGGAGCTTACATGAGCAACCGAGTCTCTGGCCGCCGGAGCAACAATATCAGCACAAGACACCACGCAAGGACAAGCTCTTTCTACTTGAGCTTATTAATGTCATCAATTACACTCTAATAGAGCCATTGTTAGGAACGGCTGTCTTCTCACCCGTAAAGATGGCAATGCCATCCAGCAGAAGAGACCCATCACAACCCTAGCGGCAGCATTGTCCAAATAGATTGCTGATCATCAGTTTTTAACAAGGAAAAACCGGGAAAAAATAATTAATAAACATGCAAGATTGAGAAGTTGTAATACATATACTAAAGGATAAAACATGCTAGGATTAATTTCATGTACTGACATTAACTAAGCAGTAGTGAAAAATGCCCCCATGCGTGTTTTCCTTTGTTATACCTTCAGAAACTCCTTGCTCAAATATAGCAAACGCTTTTGGGCTCGTTTTCAAGTGGTGATTTGGTGATAGCATGCAATCAGCTACGAGAGAAGAACAAGCTACCAGGAGATAATAAAGCGTTTGAAATGTTTGTTATCTCACACAAAAGGATCATGACATTAAACATTGTCTTACTATATATATATATATATATATATATAATCTCATGAAATTGAGTCTCTGTTGAGTTAAATATAGGAATGGGTCAATAATTTTAATTGGTGAGAAGAAATAAATATTATATAAAAAATCAGAAGAAATTAAAAAAAAACCTAAAAACATGTGTTTATACGATTTTTGTTGTTGTGGAGACATCTTGACTAAATAGATTAGGATTGATGGTCTAAAAATTGAAAATAGAAGTTATCAACTAATTTTATGATTGCTAGAAAGCTTACCTAATTAAAGGTTATTTGTAAGCAATTGATTATATAATATAAAAGATAACAATTGCTTTATCTATCTTACTTGAAATAAGTTACTTTATTTTTTTTCTAATAATAAAAAGGTATTTATTATGCTTATATGATAAAAATTTACCTAAATTGAAATATGTGTATTTATTATTGAAAGTAAGAAATTATTAAGATCTAGGATGGTGATTTGAGACCTAACCTTAACAACAAGATCTAATCCTCACTCATGAAATATTGACATTAAACCAAGAAGATGATGATGATGGTTAATTCATCTTTGACCCATCCTATTTGTTTGAAATGTGGACAAAAAATGGGTTATTTATTCTTAATAAACAAATATAAAATTAAAAATAGAAATTATTATTTAATTTTATGGTTGCTAAACATCTCATTTAATTTTTAAAAGTTTTTAGTAAGTAGTTGGTTATATAATAGAAAAGATAATAATTACTTTATTCATGTTACTTGGAGTAAGATGCGTTGGTTTTGTTTTTAACAATAAAAGGATATTTATTATGCTTTTATGATAAAAATTCATCTAAATTAAAATATATACATTTATTATTAAAGGTAATAAATTATTAAAATTTGGAATGATGATTTTATATCTTCCCTTGACAATAATGTTTAATCCTCACTTCTAAAATAGGCATATAATGTTTAATCCTCACTTCTAAAATAGGCATAAAAAATTACTATTTACTTTTAATAAATCAATATAAAATTATATCGATCTAATCTAAATAATATCAATTTATTTATTTTTAATGTGACATCTAAAAAAAATTAATTAAAATTTATAATTTTTTAATCAATTTTAAATGATGAAGAACATTTAAATAATTGAAAGAAGTTAAAAAAATATAAAAATACAAACATCAATTATACTGAATATCGAAACTGGTTCATGTTTAATGTAAGTTTCAAGTAATAACCTAATTAAGATTTAAAATTCCTAAGCTAATTTTGAATTATGATATATATACATATCAATGAACAAAGCAAGATCTAACAACACTAACATCAAGAAATTGTTTTGCATTTAATGCGATATCCGAGAAGAAACCTAGGCAGGTAGTATTTATGTTCATGGGCTGATTTTTAGCACCCAGTAAAACACAACTCAACGTCATGCCATAGCAGAAAACACGAGAACAATTTACAAAGGTCAAACAAATACTCATCATATCGAGAACAAACTATTACATCTCGAATAAAATGTTTTATTCCCGTCATTCCAATCCCATCATAGGGTACATAGATTTCAACCTTATCCTGCTAGAAAAAAATAAACTGACAGTGGCTTCATACCCCTACCCCGCTAGGGTAGCCACAAGTGTGAGATGTAACCTAATACTTCAAATATTCACAATAATAACGAAGAATAAAAATTATAAATGTGTTACGATTTATTCAAAACTGAATAAAAAATTATTTGGGATCCGAAAAACACCCATGAGAGCTGCTGGAACGGATGGGAGAATACAGGACCTGAACTAGATAGTGGGGGCACATGCCCCTCACGCCCTGGCGCGTGGGCATACAATGTGGAGAGCTGGCGCATTTTTCCCACACGCCGATGCCGTAACCTAGAAAAAACACAGAAAATGATTTGATTTGTGGCAGAACAAGGTTGTGAATCCTGCTTGATTTTTGTCTGTGAATTAGCTACATTTTGGATGAGAATTTTGTGTCCTTGCATGGGGAAAGCGAAAGTTAAATCAAACAAATGAAAAATCTTGAAATTAAGCTTATCTCTTTTTCACTCGAGGATGTTTAAAGGCAAAAAACACTAAATTATTATTATTATCAATTTTATGGAATATTTTTAACAATTAAATTCACGGTTAACTCCAATAAATATAATAAATTTAGGTGTTATTTGATAATATAACTACACTTGAGATGAAAGCAAGCCATAACAAAAAAAAATTTTGGTTATATTTCAAATGTGAGTTAAATTTAGTGGAATCTATCACCACTTGTTGCTAAACTTGTGGCCTATGAAAAATTGGAAAATATCTGGTTATATTTCAAATGTGAGTTGAATTTAGTGGGACTAATTACACTTGTTGCTAAACTTATGATCTATGAAAAATTGAAAAATACAGCTGTTAACCAGCAACCACCTCACTTTGATCATCCAAAAACAAGCTCTTTATATATATATATATATATAAAAGCCGTTGCATAATAATATATCATCCTCCTAATCAAATCAATTCAAACTTTCTCTCCTCAATTATCAAAAATTGGAGTTGCACTCATTTCTTCTCATCTAGCATATCCCTCCTCCCTTTCACACACAAATAATTAAGATAACAATCACTACAAAAAGTTCTCTCTTCTATTATCAAAGAAGTTTTTCCCTTCTTTTTTTCTACCCGAGACGTCTTGCAAAGCTCCTAATCTTACGAGGATGTTGCAAAATTAAATTGCACTCGTTTCTTCTCACTGTGTTTATCCCTCCTCCCTCTCACACACAAACATTTGAGCTCACAAACATACTCACAGCAAAAAAATTCTCTCCTTTACTATCAAAAATAAATTTCCCTTCTGTTTTTCTACTCGATACGTCTTCCCAAGCTCCTGATCTGGTAGATCCACTTAATAAAAAAGTATATTGCCCTTTGTATCATTTTTTCACTTTAATTTTTTCATTGTGAACAGTTTTATATATTTGTTGTGCCTTCCATCTTCACAAATGACACCAAGATTTTAATGGAAATCGTGTAATGGAATCGCCATATTTCGTAGTTGCAGATAAAAAAAGAAGAAATGAAGTCCATTTTTTTTTATATTGCTTCTCACAATTTTGTATGTAATTGTTGATGTTAATTGCAGATCTGATTTCGTGTTAGAGGAAAAAAAACAATGAGACACTGAGAAATTATTATTTAGACAAAAAAAAGACGGTGCTGTAATAGAGAATATGTTTTTCTTTTTTAACCAATTACGCCACCCTAAAGATAAGTATACATATGTATACATATTTAGGTGTTGTGTATTGTTCTGGGTTAACCCTAAAGATAAGTACACATATGTATACATATTATTGTTCTGGGTTACAATATTATGAATATATTGAGCTATAAGGATTGTTAATTAAGAACAACCATTTCTTGTATAGATGCCGGTATGAAACAAAAATTGAGTGTTGTGAATTAGGATAATTAACCATTTGTATTTTTTAAAAATTTATATTTCTGTTGAGACAATACTGATTTACA